CATTTTGTCCCTTCTCTTTGCTGCTTTGCTAGTTGCCTTTTGAAGGGCATCAGTAACAAGCTGAAAATGAATGCTACTTAAGAGATTTGGAAGTAAAACTATTTATCTCTTTGCTATTTATTTCTGTGTAAGACTGTGCTGGTTTATGCTTGTATGTCTGCGTGTGTTTGTGTGTTTTCCCCAAATCTTTAATTTTGATTAGTTTAGCCTTGGGAGAAAAATAGGACACTGAAATAGCAAAGGCTGCAGCCACTCTGCTATGTGTTTTCACATGTAAACCAGATCGCTGAGGTGTGTACTCTTCAATTTCTGTGTCAGCATAAGGACTAGCTTGTTTCAATATCGAAATCAGAGGAAAGACATTAAATGTCTCTTTGCTTGTAGGGGACAGATATTGATTGAGATGTGTACAGATCTAGGACCTGCTCAGATTACATACTATGTTCAAATAAAGCATGCTTTTTGGAAAACTAGCAGGATTTCATGGCTGTGGGGTGCATTTGAGACTGAGATACTTTTACATTTTACATTTACATTTGAGATACGTTGTGGTTTAGGTTTGTTTGGAAGAATGTAATTGCTTTTTATGTGCTTATCCTTTTAACTTGATGACACAGAGGCATCAGCCACATCCATTGAGGCACTCAGCATCCTGCAGCACCCTTAAGGTTTTACCAAAACCATGTCTTACCTTCCAGAAAACTTCTTCTGGACAGAATGGCACTCCTGCCTTCTCACTGGCTGAAGCATTGTGGGTTTTCCCCTTTGTATAGCTACACAGCTCACGGGTTTTGGGGCAATGTGCGTCGCGATGTCTGAATAGATCTGACAACACTGAAGTGAACAGAAGTAGCTGCTCCAGCGTAACATCTGTCTGCCATATTACACTTGTGCTCCACAGTACATCTGCATGTGTGTCCCAGGTGCACCAGATTTATTCTCTATTATAAGGTCAGCTCCCAGCATACACTGTAATGTGTCATGGTCAATTGTCCAGGGAGTGATGAAGTCCAGCTGAAGATGAACTGTGGCTCTTGCCACACGCTACTTGGGTGATTTCATTGGAGTGATGTGTGCCATTGGTGTCAGTATAAATCCATCAAGGATGCTACACAAGAAAGAGGAACCCTGAGAACAGAGCTTCTGCTCTGTATTTGCCATGGGAGTGTGACTGTAAATAATACTGCCATCCTTGCTGTTGGTGTCCATACTGTGCCCCTGCATTTTGCATTGCATTTTGAATTTTGTTACATGGCAGGACTTGCATCTCACCTACTATGAGGTTCTGCATGGCCAACCACTGCCAATTTTTTACTGAATACAAAACTTTGCAACAAGCTGAAAATTTTCAGTCATCCATTAATGGATTTATTCCCAGAAACTGAGGGTGTGGTGCTGCTCTGAGTTGGAGACAAGTGTTCAAATGAGCTAGGAAAGGTTTCTAATCATAGCTCTGTTATTTGTTTGTGGAGTCAACACAGGACATGAGATTTCTTTTTCCTTTCTATTATTAGACACACTTACCAAAGCTGCCAATCCAAGACCTATTCTAACGCATAAATTCACAAGTACACTTATCATTTCAAGTTTTTTGCTAATTACTAACTAGGTACCAAATGTTCTGGGAAATTCCCCTTTGCTGACAATCACAATCGTTGCCTTAATTGAATGGAATGCAGAACACATCCCAGACTCAGTGTAGAGATATTTTTGATCAAACCTTTATCCAGAAAGGAGCCTATGTAATATCTATGCAGGGTACTTTGAAAGTCAAGAGATGCTTGTACTGATAAAATGAGCAAGTTTGGTGGTTATAATAGCTTTTCATCAGGGTTTCAGCCTGCCTATTCTTGATCTCAGCTTCTGAGATAGCATCTGAAGGATAGGCATTGCCTGTAGTTGTCAAGAACACGGAGACAGTGGTTTCCAGCCCATCATCCAAAGACCCTCAGGGGCTACAACTAATGGGTTCTTCAAGTGGAAGCAAGGAAAGCTACTTGTTATCAGGAGTCCACACCTCTACCAGAACATCTTTAGGAATACAACAGTCAAATTAGATCAGGCATCAGCAGATAAAAATAAACTCTTTCAAATAAACTTGAAAGCATGTAGAATATCCAGTGATACACAGAGAACAAGTGTTGTGTTTTTGACATGGCTGCCTTTGCTGAACAAAAACCCCAAAGGCCATTACCTGCATTAGCAGAAGTCACTGGGAAGCGTCCAAGCACAGTGCATCACTAAGTTGCATCACTCAAAACTGACAAGACTTAAGCAGTTTATCTCTACATTTATCTCTAGAACCAATGGAGTCACAGTTATCTCCTGAGATATTTGTGTGGGTTAAGCTGCTTTATTTCTGATAATCCATATATTGCTCTAAATTCATTGCAAGAATGAATTTATTTGTATGGCCAGGTGTAGCATACTTTCAGAATCACTCAGATGCTTAAGGAGTTACTTTCATTTATGAGGATTACTAACTGTCAGTCTGTACCATATTTGTCCAGGCTGGACTGATAATATCTCCATAACTCATTAAGTCTGAATGATAATCTTTGCTTGTCTAAGCAAAACTAATGATACAAGCTACACTATTTTAAAAGTACAGCACACTTTTGGCTCATGCGGAATTGGCTACCCAATGATGGCCAAGTTACATGTGGCTTATCTAGCTACCCCACATTGGCTGAGCCCTGCCAATGGCCTGTTAGCTACCTGCTAAAGTGAAGTACTTTAGAAATAATATTGAAAATGTAAAGAGGTCTCAGATAAAATCTGTGGGAGTGATGAAAAATGCAGAATACAGTATCTATAATGAAAGACTGAAAGCACTTTTAGTTTATCAAAGAAGAGAATAAGTAGATAGTTTACCACTGACAGCTAATACTTCCTTAAGGAAGAGAAACACAATAATAGATGGCTCTGCAGTCTGGCAGACAAAGAAAAAAGAATGTAAGTCTAGAAAATAGACAAGATCAAGTTGGAAATGAGGTGAACATTTTAGACTGCAACAGAAATTGGTCATTAAAACAGTAATAACAGTAACTATTATATCAGTGGAATTTCCATTATTGGATTCTTTCAAAGCTAGACTGACTTTTTAAAAAAACAATATAAGTGAAATCAAGAGCAGCTGTTGATCTGAAGGTAGAAACTTACACTTGTGAATCTTTTGGCCAAAGAAATGCAGAACATCATATGATCATAGTGGTCCTTTCCCAGCCTTAAAATTTGTATGTCTAGCACAACACAGAAAGTGTTCACACTAAGTGAAGAAATTTAAAACCCTTCAAACACTAACACTAGTTGGAAAAGTGAATTTGCACCTTATTTCTGAATATTCGTGTCAGTGTTACTTTCTGTAGACAGAAAGGTGACAATCCCACCCATCCTCTTTTCTCTGTTAGTGGTTCCATTCATACCAAGCCTAATAATGTTTTTCTGCTCTTGTTATGCCTTTGTCTAGTGGACTGAAAATTTATTATCAGCTCTGTGTTCCTCTGTGAAATAAAAAAAAATATATAGTGTTTGATCAAGTTGCCTCAACTCTCTCTTTGATAAGCTAAGTTGCTGAAGCCTCCTAGGTCTTCTGACTTGGAAGCATATGGGGGAGAGCAAAGAGGGGTGAATTTTCTTAGGCAATGTAAGCCTGAAGCTTTTTTTCTTAGGAGGGTTTTATGAAATTGACTTAATTGCTCTTACTATTAGAACTGGCCAAAAATGTTCTAGTCAATGTATATCTGTGTTTCAGAACATATTTTGAGTGTTTCATCTAGCTATTCGTTTTGACACTTTGGTGGTGGTTAAGGAACAATGACTTTGAACAAATGTCTGGGTTTTCACGGTAGAATGTAAGTCTCTTCTTTGCGCTGCTCTTTCAATACGGGCATCGTTTTTGCCTATTCATTTAGATGTGCAAAAAAAAAAAATGCTCTGCGTGCAGTAATAGCAGAACAATCAAAATCCACCCAGAGAAATCCCAAAGCAGTGATTTGGAAGGGAAACGGAGTGCTCCTTTTCAGATCGTCCAGCCCCACCCCCTTGTCATCAGGATTAAGACAGCAAGGGTGCGGGTGCGGGTTGCATATTTGCAAGTGAATCAGCTGCTTTCCAAAAGACTGTTATTTTTCAGTAAAAGCAATAGAATATCATTGTTAACTTACTATTTAAGGGAAACGAGTGGTTAGAGGAGGTGCCTTTCTGAGAAACAACTAAATGGACGTGTACATTTTTTCATATACTGAAATATGACAATATTTTGGCTTAAGTTGTAAGGATTGTGCTTTAAGAAATGACTGTGTTTATTTATCAATATGTACAAAACATAGAGGAGCCATTAAATTCAAGGAAAAATAATGATTCACTGCTGTTTTTATAGCCTCTGTTTGTAAGGACATGTATCACACACATCCTGACATATATGAGTTTAAATGTATAAGCGATTTTGCGTGCATTCATATTATTCTTCATGTCTTCAGAAGACAAAGGTTGGTTCAGTGTTACAAAAATAAATAAATAAATAAATAAAAAGCTCCCTACAAAACTTGTAAAGGTGGATAAATGTGCAGCAAGATCTCCCAGGTCACAGTCCTCCTGTGTATGTATTTTCTGATAAGCCTAATAGTCTTGATTCCCAGTGAGTGTTTTTGTATTAGGTACAAAATTATACTTTTGAGCGTTTTGAGTATTATACATCTTCATTTAAATAAACAGCCAAAATTTGAAACTTCAAAATTAGTTCCTTCTATATTTCTCTGCAAGATTTCCTGGACAAAACAAGTGCCTAAAGGCTGTGTAGTGAATTTGTAGCATCTAGGACTCGTTGCACCTACTGTTTATGTGATGTACAATTGATCAGTGCTTACGCAGCAAGTTTAATGAGGGCTGGAGTTACCAGATTTAGTGGGTGAAAGGGTGCAACACTGCAGGGTGTGGTGTCCTGTATGTGGGGAATTTGGTGTGCAAGCTGTACAGAGCCAGCCTTGCACAGACTGGCTGCCTGTGCAGGATCCCTGCAAGTCCAGCAGTGCACACAGAGCTACAATAACATGAAACATTTTGTCTGCTTCAAAACAAAACAAGAAAAAAGAAAAAAAGATAAAAGGAAAAAAGAAAAAAAGAAAAAAACCCTACTCTTGTGCAAATATAAAAGCTTCTTCCCTATGAGATGCTGCCCAGATGACCAGAGAGAGCAGCAGGGCAGTAGGTGGTGGATAAACGTGGTGGAAGTGGCAGGTATGTTTGAAGGATTTATTGAGTTTAACGTGTCATTTTTTTTTCCTTCACCGCAGCGATTTTCGGTGGTATGAACAATACCAGTGCTGATGTATGGACCAGCAGATGTCAGTGTAGTTCTGTTCATTCATCTTCCCTTTTGATGGAATTCCAGTTATTTTCTGCGGTCCCTGCCGTTCAGCTTTCTTATTTAACCATTGTCTTTTCACAGCTTAATGCATCATAATATTTGTAATTCATGTCTTCTGTCAATGTGTTTGGAAATGGACATACATCTTAACAAACAAAAATCCAACCCGAGGACTGGCTCTGAAATACTGACACTGCCAGGCAGACCATAAGACAGCAGAGGAGAGGGCAGGGAGCTGGAGCACGGACAAAGCACTGGGGTGCTGAGTGGGGCAATGCTGCTAGAGACACCCGAGTCCCCATGGACATCCAGGTTTCCCCAGAGGCCAGGCACGTTGCAAGAACACCCACAGTTTCTGTGCTCCATTTTTCTGCGTTTTTTGAGGAGAGGAAAATACAACACCGACAAGAGGAGAATGTCCTCCCAAGTCCCATGCTCTGAAATTGTTTCTCCTTCTCGGTAGCGGCAGCCTGTGTGCTGTTCCCAGCCCGACTCAGTCTCCACTGAAAGCTCATTGAGCTACAAAAGGGGTAACAGAGCTACATAATTTCTACACCACACAATAACTTTTGAGACCTAGGAAGAAGGGAACAGTGGCTTAGCAACACAGTTCTGAGACTTTTCTGAAGGAGCTGAATGCATGAGATACAGAGAAAAAATTCCTGAAAAGTTCATTTAGAATAGTTTTCAGTAGTAGTCATAAGAATGAAAGGGAAAAACTGTCTTCTAATGCCAAAGATGATAACCACAAAAAAGAGCTTTATTTTCATGTGCGGTGATATTATATTTTTTGGATGCTCTAACATCTTGATTCCATGAGAAGTCTGTCCTCCTTCATCTTGGACTGACAGCTCTTGGATGCAAAAGCAGTTGCTCTGTCAATAAAGTGAAATGAGATTTGTTGGCAGAATGAGCAGTAATGCTTGGTGTAATGGGACAGCCTGATGAAGTCTCCATTAACAGCCCAGACCCTCAGTTTAAAGCCTTCTCCCAGCCTTCCAAGGACTATAAGCAGTCATGTGCAAAGATGCAGAACTTGCATTATGGCTTATTTTTGGCATACTTGTGAGTGAGAGCGTCAGTAAGACTCACCACAAGGCTTGGGCTGCTTCTGCACCTCCAGCCGCTGGAGGCAAAGACCCAGCCCATGAGAGCTCTGTACATCATTCCCTGCAGCCAGTGGACATGGGCAAGTCAGCAATAGCACTTTCACACTGTTAAATTGGTCTGTAAACAGAGACAGGGCCCTAGTTTGAAAAGTTTTGGATCTGGACAGATACGATCCCAAAATAGATAGGCTTCTGATCCAGGATTTTGGCATAGCCTGCTACGTAATAATTGGCTTTGCAAAGAGTTGGACTGGGAGCCAAATCCCAGAGGTTGGGAGTGTTTGGGGGTTTGTTTCAGGTCCATTTTTAGTGTAAGAGAAATTTCATGAGATGCTGTGCTAAACTTGTGACATGGCATCATTATCAAGTTATAACATGATGCTATTAATTCACTGCACTCTCTGCAAGTTGCTGTGACCACAACCCTAATTGTTTCTTGAAGCTCACAGTAATGTGGCCTCTGGCTCATAACAAAATTACATGCAGAATCTCATGAAATGGAAAAGGAAAAGAAAAAGGAATGAAAAACTCTCTGTGGACCTTTCTGAGTTGTGCAAGTCATAGCTTTTGACAGGGAGAACTATTCCAATAACAGAGATTGGCAAATTTTAGAAAGTTTGGCTGTAGATACTTGGAAGTTTCTCAGAAGCTTTTCCAAACCTCATCTTAAGATTATCCAAGACACTACACAGATCTGTTGGGTTACAATTTCTGGTCTTCACAGAATCCAACAAGAACAGACTTAAGTGAAAATTAAAATGCAATATAAACAACTACCTACAGCAGGAAAGTAAATCTCTCCCCTTCCTTAAGTCTTGACTTGCTAAATCTTTCAGGCTTCAGAAAAGTGTATGCATATGTTCACTTGGAGAGGAGACTTGGGCCATATCCTAAAATTTAGTTGAACCAATTTGAATAATTATTCTGATCCAATAATTTGCTTTTAATAAATATGATGTGAAAGGCTAGTCTCTTCATTGAGGGTAGCCTTCCCCGAGTAACCTTGCTCCTCTTTTTATGCCTGTATGTTCTTCCAGCTGATCCTGCAGCAGTGATGTGCCTCTCTGTTCAATGCCAGGTGACAATTGCTTTTTGGCTGGCAGTACAGGATGATGTTGCTCCCCTGCCTCATCTGTGTCCCCAACACTGCCCTGGTAGAAGATGATTTAGGTTGGATCTTAGGAAGAACTTCTTTACCGAAAGGGTTGTTAGACATTGGAACAGGCTGCCCAGGGAAGTGGTGGAGGCACCATCCCTGGAAGTCTTTAAAAGACGTTTAGATGTAGAGCTTAGGGATATGGTTTAGTGGGGACTGTTAGTGTTAGGTCAGAGGTTGGACTCGATGATCTTGAGGTCTCTTCCAACCTAGAAATTCTGTAATTCTGTGATCCAGGTGTGAGGCATTGGTGGAATTCTGCAAGAAGAACATCTCCATGCCCATGTGGGGCCTATCAGGGGACCTAGCTGTGTGGGGAGCCTGCCAGTGTGGGCCTCCACATAGTCACTGTTCCCTTCCTAGTGTTTCCACCACGATGTTATCCAGTAAGAACATAAACCACCGGGGTGCCTTTGGGACCACAAGCCCTCCTTGATCTAGTTTCCCATGGCCTGAGCAGAAATGGCCCCATGCCCTGTGCTACGCTCCAGCCCCTGGCATGAAATGGTGCTCACTTCTTGGAAAGAGGGCAGCGGGGAATGGATTCATTCAATGTGAGTATCAGAGGCACAAAAAAAAATGGTTTGGATAGTCTCTTAAGCATCTCCAGGTGTTCAATAAATTAAAATAACTGTAAAATAAAATGAAGGGAGAGGCTGTCAGTCATCTTAACATTGTGGACACTTCTGACAGTCAATGCAATCTCATACAGAGAGAGCTCCTTTTACTTTGCAATCCCAAGAAATGTTTTGTTGGGTCTATTAGTCTTTGGGCATCTCAGAGAAGGGATGTGACAGGAATTTAATGTGCCCCTTCTTAGATCCTTACTGTTCTGATAATCACAAAGAGTTAAAGTAACACAGCAGAAGGTTTCTCTGGGCCTCTAGGAGGTTCAGCAGATTACTAATACACTACAGGCAGTTTTAATGACAGAGCTTCCAGCTCAAATCTGGCCTTTTTATTATGATGAAGGGCCTGGCCCCAAGTGGTACAGAACACCTGCAGCTCTCATTGAATACAATGGGATCTGATGCTGATGAAAGGGACCATTTTCAAACTTCCTTAGAAGTAGACGCTCCCCAGATGTTATGCAAAAAGCCCTGCAGAACAGGCATCAAGTGCTGTGATACTAGGCAGGCCAGCCACTATTTTCCTCAGCAGGATAAACCCATGAGTTAGTGCAAGTGGTTTATGTGATCAGATCTCCTATCCAGGAGCAAGCAAATTAAGGTCAGTGCTGACTGAATTAATGGAAGTATTAGCCATTCCTTGAGAGGCACTGGACATTCAAACAAAGAGGATTTTCTCTTGCTGGGAAGGTACCTGATGACATCTGAGTTTTGCCACTGACATTAGTCACAGCAGGATTTTGACTATAATCCAGAAGAAAACTTGCAGGGAAACTGGGAAGTATGTATATAAGGAAAGACAAAGGGGAGCACAAAACTTCTTATGCATTATTTTGAGACATGTGTCAGAGATTCAAGGGAGACTTATTTTAACCGAACTAGTTCATGTTCCATAAATCTCACTGTTTACCTACCATCAAGAGAAAACAATGCTTTCCACTCTATGTTATCATGGTTCTGCAAGTTCCCCTCTGCCGTTACCCCTTGATTAGTGCATGTGGGGACCTTCAGCCCCGGGTTGTACTGATGTTTCTTGTGCAGATGTCTGGGACTGATCGTTGCTGTAGGCATGGGTGGGATTAGTCCTGGCAATTATAAGTGAAGTACTGTAAAATTGTTGGTGATGTGTGAGGCTACACCATTCTGTTGGATTCTTTACTTGATTTTATTTTGTTTCATTCTCTGTGTCTTTTAGCTATCACTCTCTCCCTTCCACGTTTCATATATGTACTTATTATATAGAGAGCTGTTTCTAATTAAAGTCAATCAAAAATAAAACAATACACAAAAATCAGAATATATTGTATACTTGATTAGCCATGGCTGGGCAATAATACACAAGGAAAAATCTACATTCCTACCTCCCTCAGCTGGGGATATGATCCAGAATCATATTACCAATATAAACAGCATAAAGCAGTCTGCTTTATTAATACCTAATATATCAGGTATCACACATTCATTGCAAAAGGCAAAAGAATAAAAGCATGCCTGCATTCTGACATTGACACAGATATTAAATAACACATGTCCTGTTCTGGATTTTCCTTTCTTTGTTACAGGGTGGCAGGGGAAGAAAGGAATAAATACAATAATAGTTAAAAAAAAAAAAGAAAAAGAAAAAAGTTCTGTGACAGTTATGTGGTGATGGCAACATTGGCCCATTGTATGCAGTGAGTCAACATAAAAATGCAACAAACCCCCCAAATAACATCCACATACCGGGCCAAATCCCAGCCATCACCAGCTGTCCAGGCGCTGTGGATTTGCTGTGGCAGTGCTGCATAGCTGGGAGGAGGGAGGCAATATGGGAGGACTTGGGCAAGTGATTTGTACAGCTCAGGAATGTCACAGAAGTGCTGGGTGTTGTCGGTTTATTTTTCTGCTCTTGGGTCCTCGCAGGGGCTGGTTTATCCTTTTCACAGGGCTGCTGTAGCTTGCATCCCTAGTGCTGAGGGACTGCTGTCAGGCAGAGA